GTACGTCGGCCAAGCTGGTTTAGGGGCCTTTATTACGCTCTATCTTGACTGTTTTACGACCCGACAGCGCCCTGTAAGCTATGTTCCGGACCGCAGGTTCATGCTGTGGAGAGAGCTCAGTGACCATTTTTAAAGTGAGCTGTGCCTTTGAGGCTAGCTAATATCCAGCAATTTACGGAAATGGTCACTTACCAGCCATCGAAACCCGTCTGAACTGGGGTATTGGTGGAAGGAGTTCAATCCTACAACTGTACAAACTGTATCAGTATTGTAAGGTGACACAACTGCCACAAATTTCCGAAACGTCCTTCATCCAAAAGGTGACCATAAATTCAGTATTCTGTCAGGCATTACATTTTGACGTTTAAGAAAGTTTTTTCTATGGATATGGATGGCTCGCTCCTTCTTTTTAGTCGGCATTCGTTCTGGACTGTGCGAGAGTCATAAGGGGACTGAGAGGACTGCCATCCAGTGTACTGGTCACCCGTTTCACTTTGTTCAGAAAGCCTATTCTTCAGCAATCGGTCTCAAGAGCAAGTGGCTCATTCAGAAATTCCTTTTTTCGGATGCTTAACCTCCCAAGAGACCCATTATGAAAATTTTACTCACTAATCATTTTTCAACGAGAGATACCCATTGGGAATTCCAGACATTCCTCATCTGGAGAGTGACCATCCAAGAATTAATGCAGCTACCTTCCTCAAGCAGCTAGTGACTATATCCCACGCAGATTCCACAAACGGCTTCGTCACTCAAAATAGCCTATTGTTACGCTGTCTATGTATAGTAATGAGCCACGGAGCTGTGACACTGCCCTTCCTAGAATTCCTGGGAACGGAAGCAAGCGTGTGATTTGTGGTCACTTAAGAAGTCTGGGCGGCTTGAAAGGGAAATGTGACTGGAGGCTCTGACTCAATCAAGTGGGAAATTTCCCAACAAAGACATCGATTCTGTTGTGTTCCCCACATATCTATGCCGCTGGATAGTTGCGGAAGTTTGCTTTCAAGCTTGACAGTAGCTTCTCCTATTTTGGTGTGTTGCTATTTTTGAGGACTATGAAATGAATTCCTCTTAAGGGCCTGAATTTTCGACGTAGTGGCCTTCCTTGGAGGCTGGCCTACCTCTAACTCTGGTAGAAAGCAAGTTGATGCAAACTGGCAATGCACAAGAATAGCAGTGGTCCGTCAGATTAGACTTTAAACTGCATAGGAACTCGTACGTCACACCTGATCGCTTCTAACCCCACAATCAAGATACAGCAGCCCACATGTTCGTTTACTCGAGTACATACATCCCACAACATGACGCATTTTCTCGAGTACATAAAATGGGAGAGATCGAACAATCTACACTTTCTGATGAAAAGAAATAATCGTTCTTATTCCTTCTTGCACACATATAAAACATTGATGGCGAATTGTGGAGTAGGAACGACACTTATATTATTGAATCCGGCTTCCTTCAGCAATTTCACAGCTCTTTCTTTTCCCCACATCGTTCCCAGCCCAAGAGCATCTGCAATAATTTCAAATCATATGAAAGCAATCAAAAGTTATGCTGGTTATGCTCCTATTTCTGTTTCCGCAACAGTTTTATTGGTTGGTAGTGCGGCGAGTCGGAGCGGGCTACAACGAGGACTCATACCGCATGTTCTCTCCCTCTGACTCTCGAGCTTTTCAGACTTTGTGGACTAGTTGTTCTACTACAGTTGTTCTAATGTAATGCTGTAGTTCCTATTCGATGGCGGCGAACGGAGTTGGCAGGCCGATGGTGAAGTCAAAGTACTGTCAATGAACTTGCCACCTGACGTTCTCCTTACTCTCTGTCGAGCTCCAAGTATACGGTGCATTCCTAGCGGGACCACTACGCGCGCCCGGGCCTACGGACTACTTGAAATCGGTTCTTCTAGATATTGCCCCTTCCTCGAAGATTGCCATGCCAATTGAGATACTGTGACACTGCTATATTATGCGAACATGGAGTCTATTCAAGACTACATAACGTCCCTGTCTATGAAAGCACCCATGCCTGCACAACTACGACTCAGGACGATTCACTCCGGACGGCAGTGATCTATTGTGGAACTACAAGAGCCCGTCCAGATTGAACAGAGTGGCCAATGCAGCTACCCTATTAAATCTATACTAAAAAGGCTCATATGAAGGAGGAAAATTTTGCCACTAAGTATAGTTGAAGCTGTTTTTGGTAACTGAGTCGATATATCTCACCTGGAGAGTTACTGCCTACTGGAAGGCAATGAAATACTGAAGCTCCATACAGTTGTGCCGAAAACAGCCCTATTTCCTTCCGATCGGTGTATACATTTGATGATCCTTTTATCTAAAACATTTCAAATGAAATTATCGGAAGGGAAGGGAAAAGGCCCGCATCCTCACCTCCAGCATGCCGAAAACACCTCCTGGCTTTAGAACACGATAGATCTCCTTCAGACACTGAAACACTAAAAATTTACTTTACCCCTTGGGTCTCTTCTCCAAAAAGGTGGGTGACCGAACGTCCTTTACTGTGTACCACATTATCTTCAGCACAAGAATCCTGTATTCGTTTTGTTTGTTTGTAGATTTTAGTTACTTGCGTGTTCCACACCATCAGCTCACATTGTTAACAAAACATTAGGACTACATTGGTGTTCACGTCCCTCCATGGCCACGTAATGAACATGGGGTCAAGATTTAGAGCTGTGTGGGACGATAGGGCGATTTAGTAAGGCATAAGCGGTGGCTCACCAAGTCAGGCCTCATCTGGTCATGACAGGCATCAAATATCGTCACCATGTCGAACTCATTCGACCAACTGGGATCCATCTTCCCGGCGTCCATTTGAATGAATGTTAGATTGTCAAACGCTTGCCCATCATCTTTCCTAAACTCTCAAAAATCGATATTCAGAACAAAAATAAAAGAAACCCACGAAAGCAATGATTAATCACTTTGCTGTTTCTGCTCACCTTCGTTGATCAGCCTGATTCACCGCTTCCGAGGTTACATCGATGCCAGTGAATTTAGAATCCGGAAAATGTTGAGCTGAAATATGCATCTGTGAACCTTCCCCAGCTTCTACGTATATTTCCACTTATGAGATACCCGAACAACAGGAAGTGTTTGCCCCTACGCTTCCTACACGGTCCCTCTCTCCTTACCCTCAAAATGCGGATAATAATTATTCCACGCACTTCCTGCCAAATTTTTGGAGTCTTAAGGATGTTCAGTGCCCTCGAGCGCAATTTTTCTTACAAAGCAGACCCCCCGTAAGATGTAGTCTCAAAAGAGGGCTCCCAGGACAGCATTCCTTTCAAAAACAACCAACCCTGTGAGCCAGCGGGGCGAAATATTGTAACTGCTCTAAACTGGAAAGCTCTACGCCCTCGTTTATGAGGAAGTATGGACACGCTTTCTTGAATAAACCAATACTAACAAAAGCAACTAAGAATAGTTTCCCGATTGGGGTCGAACCTATCAATGCCTCAGTTCAAAGGGAAACCTTCACGGCAATGCTGTAGTGAATCGAAATGTGTGAAGTTGATGAAATGACTCACCCAGA